TGGGAGGCCCCATCCCTGGAAGTGTTTAAGACCAGGTTGGATGAGGCGTTGGGCAACCTGGTCTAGTGGAGGTTGTCCCTGCCCATGGCAGGGGACTGAGTCTGGATGGGCTTTGAGGTCCCTTCCAACCCAAACCATTCCATGATCCTATGAAAAGTACCACCTTGGCTTGCATGATCGCAACAAAAACCTAACTACCTAGAACTCCTAATTCTAAAGGCACTTGAAACAGTTTTTACCTTTTGAGAAGACTCCAGCTGTACTTCCAGGTCACGTGCTTTCTGACGCAGCATCTCCAAATGTGCATTTTGCTCTCTGAGATGGTTCTGAAACAAGGACATCTGCTGCTGGGCTTCTAATATTTTGGTTTTCCCAGGGGTTTTACTCCTCAGCATCTCATTAACCTGAACACATAAATGTACTCACAGTCAGAAGAAAGTTTATATCACAATAACTCATACACAAGTCTCAATGTATGCATAAAATATACTGTATTCATTTACCACAGGTTTACCCTATGTCTTTCATTCTCAGTGAATAAGAATCTCCCTAAGAGGTCAGACAAAACTTGTCATGTTTTAGATACTATTACTTACTGTAAAGATATAAATGTTAGATAATTCATCTCTATGAAGCCCCCAAAACAAAGCAGGACTTCCAATGGACTGGATGTATTGGTAAGAGTACAATGAACAAAACCAGTCTTCTCTGCAAAGGATTTACAGCTCCGTACTAAAGGGTGTTTTTTTCTCTCCATCTCCCTCCAAATGAAAACATTTACCCCCATGAATAAAACATATTTTATTTTACCCCCATTTTTAAAACCTTTTTCTAAAGACTTGGCTAAAACCAAGAAGATTAAGATAGTATTAGTACTTTCATCTGTTATTAACGTTGATGTGCTTCCACAAACAACTTGTATCATATTACTAGCCTTACTCAGAATACGCCTGAAGTGCTATTTAGGGGCTTTATCATTGTCTTTTGATGGCTTATGGAGCAAATCCCAACATCATCTTTAGAGTAATTTTCACTATTACCCCATATTTTGCCAACAGCAGTCAGAATTGTAGATAGAAAGCAGTATTTTTTTTTCTTTTCCAAACTTAGAATTTCATTTAGCAGAAGATTTATTTTCCAGGGCATGAGCAACTCCTTCAAGATAATCCCTAGACTTCAGTAAGTACCATTATTTTTTTTTTTTCAAACCCCCTTCCTATCTAGAAATTTAAGACACATAATCCCTCCTAGCACAATTCTTATCTTGCAAACCTGAAATGGTAAGTAAACATAAATATAACTCTCTGGCATATACTACAAGGCTCCTGAGACAACAAATAAAGGGGTGTTTAGAGAGACTAGCCACTAGAACATCGAGGATCACTGAAAAAGAATAAAGTATTTTAAGGAAAAAAATACGTAAAGTAGATGAAAGGCTGTAGGATCTCTCATTATCCCAGGATTAGATCCACAATCAACTTGTTGCACTGAAGCAGTTCCAATGTGTCACAGGGGCTGCTGCATCAACTGTCTTCAGGTTATTTTAAATCTCCATCTTTGAGCCAAGTCACATTACCTCAAGACAGCAAGTTTCTGTGGAACAGCTGAGCTGTTACAGTTGCCCATGCACACACTCGGAGCTTTCTTTGGCAAAGGCAAGGAAAACTAATCGCACGTAAGCCCATACCACTACAGTGATCCCAAACCACAACAATATTGGGGAAGATTCCCTAACAAGGGCTAAATTGATGGGCAAAGAAGTGTAATGACTTCCCAAACATTACACAAGCAAGTGGAAAGTATAAGGATATTTCCGGGACTTCTCCCTAGCAGCTGGGGAAAACTCTGCCTCACCCTGAAATCATCTTCACTGCTGCATCGCAAATTGAACTAAAGAGCTATGTGATAAGCTCAATATGTTTTCATGTTCATATTCCAAACTTGTTCTTATTCTCTTTGTAAGGAAACAAAAATCGGAGGAGAGGCACACCTGATGTAACTGAAGTTGTAAATCATGGATCTGACCAGCTACATGTGAAGCCTCTTCCTGTAGGTCATCCCGATCCTTCTTCGCCTGTTGAAGGCAGGTTGTTAGTTTCCTGATGACTTCGTTCTGCTCTTGAACGGTAGTTTCCTACATGGACCACGAGAAGTGCAGTTATAAAATTAAAACAGTTTTAGCACACTAGGAATCCAGTAAGTTTTCTCAAAGCAAAGCTGTTATGAGTCTATAGTTACACTTAAGTTTTAACAAACTTGCGCCAAAGGACCATAAATATTTCTGTTCAAGAAAGACAGCAGGGGTGAGGAAAGAATAATCTTATACTGATCTCAGAGATGACAAAGCTAATCAAAAGTGACTTTTTAAACAAATGATAGGATACCAGTAATGAAATAAATATTTTTAGTTAAAAATTTTCTAGCTCTCATTGATGTAAAAACAACCAAGTTTTCTACAGGATATAACGAATATTTAGTACCCCCTAAATTGTTTCCTATCTGCCAGCTCTCCTTTTCAGTCATGTGAGAGAAAGCTAATGAGATGGGATACATTAATCCTATTCTATGTTAATCACATTAACCTTTTCAATGTACTTCTCACCAACAGGAAATGTCTTTGTTTCCCAGTCCTAAAAGGAGAAAAACAACATGTAAAAGGGGAAGTAACTATTCTTCAGTAGCACCTGATAATTTCCCTTTACATAAAAACGCTAGAGAAAGGGAATTCAAAATATCTTTTTTTAATATTTTAGGAGAGGGGAAGGTACACGTTAGTTTAATAAAGTTTAACTTCTCCTACTTAATCATTTGTCCATACAAAACAAACAAACAAACAACAAAAAAACCCAACCCAAACCACCACCAAAGAACACCCCAAAACCAGAAAACCACAAGCATTTACAAATATTCAAAAAGTGTGAGTGATCTCTGGGCAAAAAAATCACCCATGGGGGTGGTGGTGTCTGCTGTCCCATGTGAACATTTGAAAAGGAGCCCAGCTGCATCCATGAAGTGGTTTGCTGGCATATCCACAGAAACAATGACATTGTAATAAGTACTTCCTTTTCAATAGTTTGAACAATGCTTCAGAGGGTTTTTTTCAACATTTTTCAGCATAACCTTGATATATAACATCTATAAAGTCAGTATTTATACAATTATAAGCCCCATGCTTTTACACTGAACCCTACCTCTATGTGCGATTAACTATTCTTACCTCAGTGGTTCTTGCAGATTCTCTCTCTAAAGACCCACTCCTCAATATATTAAGAAAATGTATCAATAAAAACTAGTAGCAAGCGTCCAACTATTTCTTAGCAGAAGAATTTAACTACGCATTTCATAAAAACCGTCTAAAAATAGAAGCATTTCAAATTTAATTTTACTCTCACTCGATTCAAGCAATATGAAGTCCTGGAAAACCTCAGTACTGCTTTTTGCAGCACATGTTAGCAAGGTGAAGTACTTTCAGTAAAAATAATGCTTCTTTTGAGTTTTGCCTCCTAAATGTTTTTAGGATTAATATGAAGTACTATTATCCCCATTATCCAATTCTATGAAACGTACCTGAAGTTGCATTGAGTCACTGTGCTGGGTAAGTTGTTCCTGCAGCTCGTCCATCTGTGCAGTGAGTCTTTCGACGGCTTCTTGTTTTTCCCAAAGTCTGTTCTCTAACTCAGCTATTCTCGCCTGACACATCTTAGCATCAAGCTCACTGTATTCTGCAGCAGAATTTATTGTAACTTCCTTCATAAAAGAAACAAAAGTGTATTTACTCACCAAAACAATATACCATTTCTGTTTTGCGATTACTCTGAATATAAGTTCAGCTTCAAGCTTAAATTCTGAGCAAATTCTAGCTTAAAAGTAATGCAACATTGAGGCTTTGTATTTAATAGAAACATTATACATAAAGTCCTTAATTCTTAAAAATTTCAAATAAAAAACACTTCGTAGATAATATATGATACTTTAAGGCACAAAAGTAAATTAGGGAGAAGAGTCCTGTGATTCTAGAGCACCAAATTCTGGTAAAGTGCCATTTTGACACATGTTGGGATTTAAAATACACTCCAACTCACAGGCTGCAGGGGGAGAGGGGGAATACTACCAAAACTAAACAAAGTTTTTACATCCATATGCGCTGACTGGAGAACAGTCCATCCATAGGAAAAATAATAATGTAACGTTCTTGACTTAAAATTGAATTCAAGTGTAAGCAGTTACTGCAAATAAATATTTAACATACCCTGAGTTTCTATGGCCTTTAACAGCAAAACAAATAAACAAAAAAGTACAAAGAAGTTGCTCCACTCAATCCTGTGATTTCTTAGGACCAATATGGTTACAATTCTCATAGAGGAGACAGTATCTTGTGGTTTATTTTAAATATTTTTTTTGTTTTAATGTATAAAACAATTAAAGAATAAATCTACTTTTCAATTAAAAACATTGTTCAAATTTCTCTGGACAAGGTCCATGATTTCACTAAAACCAATTCTCTTAGCAACCAATATTGCAGCCAGTACATGTACATACAGATAAGTACCCATTTTAGGCTGTAAAATAGCTAAATCGTATCGCTTATGATGTTTGATAACAATGCTCAATAACTAATCATTTTAGTAACCAATTACCATCCTCTTCTTTCACACATACATCACCATCTCTCACGAAAGAGACATTCTTTCACACTTACTTCAGGGGCATGGTCACTCAGTACATCCCAGTTGGACAAGTCAGTGCTCCCCTGGTAAGTAAACAAATAAAACCAAGACTAAATCATGGCCATTTTAAAGAAACATAAGGAGAAGCAGAATTGTTTTGGAAACACCCTGAGCACATGAGCCAGAGAGGGCCATGCTGTGAGACAACATACTAGTGAGAGACTGACTTGAATGTTAAACTCAGCTGGTAATGCATGGTCAAATGAATGAAATAAATGACAAGAAAAACCCCACCAAAATTATTATGAATGTCTACTCAGAAATGCAGGGCTAAGTCTCACCATTGAGATTCAATGTTTTATTTTCTGCTTTTGCACCTTGCAAATATAGTTGAGCACTCTTTAGTCTACTACTAAATATCAGTCAACTATCTGACAGGAGATTATTTAACAAACTAACTTGCTAAAATCATTCAGAAAATGACGAAAGCAGTACTATTTTCTGACGCATATACTTAATATAGCTTGATATTTTAAAGATATTTACCTCTGACTAAGCTCACAACAAGACAAAGATGACTGCAGCACTATTTAGAAAAGGCAGCCCATAACCCTCCCTGCATTTTGAATCTGCACGGAGTAGTTCCCAGTGATTGCTCTCTAGAGGTGCCCTCTCCGTGTAACCTTAAAAGCGATTCCATTTGCTTTACAAACCAGCTATTTTGACAAAAGCTGTTTAGAAGCAATAACTGATTTTTGTTTGTTTTTTAATTTAAGTTCACGTGAACGTAATAAGGACACTGCTATGGTTGAGTGACAAAATACTGTACATTTTTTTCTCTGTGCAGATGGCTTGGCACGTAGCTGCCTCAAAGCCTTTGCAACACTAACGTTAGGTTCAGGATCTAGGGATGCCCTCACAACAGAAAGCGGGATCATACATGCCAGCAGTATCCTCCATTATTGCAGGTTTGCAAATACACCAGTCTGACGCTATTGTTGGATGTTGTGAAAACACACCAACAGCTGGCGAGATGCTTTTTATGCAGAAGGCATTGCCTCCCCAAAACTCACGAACCTTTGCATAGATAAGATGCCGAAAAGTACCCGGAAACTACTTTCTAAATGAACTCCCAGCCTGAGATAGATATATTTTGTTGTAGCCAGAGTTGCCTTGTAGCTTCTGAGGCTTGGGAAAGCATTAGCCAACCAGTTCAGAAGCAAGTTGGATTCCTACAAAAACAAAATTGTTCAAAACTACGTTTTGCTTCTTTTTATTACGAGACAGAAAGAGAGACAAAGCGTTACGTGATCATGTAATCCACAGCTGATACAAAAATAAAAATCTTGCTTGTGAGCTCAAGCAAGAAAGCAACTGCTTAATTCAGGCAGACCAGTACATCTATTGGCAGATGTCTGGTAATCTCAAGCTGTATCAGAAGCTGTTTCTATGTTTTTCAACACGACCACAGTGCTACCTCTAGAGAGTCATCAGTACAAACACACTGAAATACATCAGGCACAAGCAGAGTCACGTTTTAAACAAATTTGTCAGAGAATGTAAAATCTATGCTGGCTTTATGATGGCTACTAAGAGCATGCTGGAACAAATTATATTTTTTTCAGAAAATATTAAGCACATTTCAGCTAGCAAAGTGATACAAAACCAAACTAATACTGAGCATTATAAGGTGCTGACAGTTTTGCTCATCTACCACGCCTCTCAGTCTAGATTTGCCATTTCCTGGAGTCCCAGCCACATAACCAGAAGTCTGCCCAAAGAGAAGTTCATGACAGTGAAAGGTGAAAGACCTCAATTTAGGAGGCTAACAGCAGACAGCTCCTTGACAATACCAGTCCAGCCCATAAAATGGAGATGTTTTTTTCAGTTATTTACATCACTTTGTAAGAGAGTTAATTATTACAAGTGAAAATACATCACTTCACTTACTTCTCAATGGCAGCTAGTTGACAGTGCCAGAGAGTTAACACCCAATTAAGTAAAACAATCCCCTGGAACACTTGTTATCTGCAGATGGAGTGAAGTGAAACACAAGAAATACTAACACAAGAAATACTAAAGATTTACCTCTGTCTCTGTTGTCGTCTCTAGTAGGTTGGTGTCTTCAGCCTTACTCTCTATACCCTTACCAACATCTTGGGCCGCTAATGCATACTCTTCCTTCGGAAGGTCATGCGTGTGGACAGACGAGCCCTTCCTCTTCGACGTCTTTTTCTGCGACTGCGTGATGTCACCTTTTGTTTTTCGTTGTCTGAAGTAAGCAAACTGTGCAGAAAAGATTGGAAGAGGTAGAGGGAGAGGTAAGTGAGAAAAAGGTAGCAGGACCACAAGATTAACACATTCATGGGTGAAGAAGATCCTGTCTTGACAAAATATATACATCTGCAGAAAAACTGCTTTATCTTCCTACTTGCTACACATTCAGAACATACTCGATAACTGTGCAATTAAGCAAGAAATCTCACACCAGTACTAAAGACTCATTTCAATACAAGAATCAAATTTTACTCAGTGAAACTTTGTGTTCAATGACAATCCAGAATTACAGCAAGACAGATTAGTAAAGGAATGAGTTGTTAATATACTAGAATCACTAGGAAAAAAATCATAATTGAGCAGCCTTTCTGCAAGACCGGCAAAAAACAATAACCCCCTAGAAACGTATCTAAACAGATCTTTGCCAGCGTAAGCTTTAAGACTAAAATTAACGGAAGTGAATCCTCACGCTCCTTCCCTGCCACCCCCTTAAGAGAATACAGCAAAACTTCCTAGCCAGAAAGCAGTACATAAATAGAAAATCAATTAAGCCAGGTCATTTTAATTTCTTCTGTTGAAGAATCAGATGCTCTACTTTATCAGACTATCACAGCTCTCTGAAGCACCAGGGACTTGTGAAGAATGTCACTGACAGAATTTATTACCCAAGTTTCCTTAGCACCTTAAACAGCTTAAAAAGGATTATCGTATTTTCAACTCTAGTATTGTGTTTAGGCAGCATTTCCAAGTAACATCTCCCTTGCAGCATAAATCCAGACCTCCTTCTCATAAGGAAAAAGCCTTCTCCAATGTTACAACCATAGGTTATCAAGTGCACTGTTAATATATCCTTGTGATGAGACAAAATAGACAAATGATGACAGGATGTAAAAACAATTGTCAAGGTCTACCTGCAATATATAAGAAAATCTACTGCTTGACAGCTTGGTACTCCTGTAAAACAGCCACCTTGCAGAAAAATCGTGCCTGTTTCTTTTCATTCAACTTGTGAAATGGATTTAATTCAGTCCTTTCTCCTCACACCCTTGCCATTATAGCAACTTCTACCTGACAGCTCAGCTACTCAACAGATACACGGTTACACACCTGCTCCCCTGAGCAGCCAGTTTAAAAGGTATATTTGCAGAAAGACATCAGTTTCTTGCCAGCAGTTAAGACGTTTATGTACAAATAGCTTATTTTTAAGATTACCACTCCGTAGTTTCCATAGTTATTAATACTGAATGCAGATTAAATAAAGATTGCCAGGTGCCTTTCAAAATAAGCAAAATGAACAGACCAGTAGTGAGACACAAATACTACTCTCTGGAATCAGGCGTTAACTCTAGCACTTACTGATAGCAATATATGTCAAAAATAGCTATTGCGCTAATTAACCTGATTACATGGGGGAAAGGGAAAGAAGGAAACCTGCAGAAAAATGGAGAATAGAAGAAGCTACTGAAGCAGGAAAAAAGGGAAAACAGGAGTAAAATGATCAGAAAAGATAAGAAAGGAAAGGCAGAGAGAGTGGCCATCACAGAGAGCGGTTAATGATTTCATGAAGGGAGACCAAGTATTTGACACTAAAATACCAGGATGTGCCATGACTGAACATCTGAATGAGTACGAATTTTTAAACCCACAGTTCAAAGAAAACAAAACATTTTCCCCAGTACAAAACATATGAAATCATAATACATATCATGCAAAAATATCCACCTACTCCAAAATTTTACAGAACTACTGGACTTGTTGGTCCACAAAAGAGTTTGGAGTTAAACAGGCTCCAGATTTATGGAAACACTGGATGGAGAAAAGAGTAGTTAGGGCAGTATCAGGTTTCCAAAGCTTTTCATCAGCTACATGAATTAAAGTGTCATTAGAAGAGTAGCCAGCCATCCAACATGAAGAAGTGTGTGTGAATATGAAGAATGCACAGATTCACCCCCATCCCAGGGAGATCCATTGTGCCCCTTCGGACAGATCCAATTCTCAGTTTGCTCTCTAGCAGCATGTGCAAAGGCAAAAGCTTCGCTTTTAGCCAAGACATTGCATGCCACAGGAACACCACCAGCAGCTCTCCGACCTTTCTGCAGGTACCAATATACTGCAACTTCATTCCACTGGGACCAGTCAGTTAAAAGTGGCAACCGCAAGGCACCGCTGAATGGGTATGCCAGCACGAGCCTACCAGGTCCTGTGCTGCCTGGTCCTCGGGTCATCCCTGTCCCCGATTAACTGCTACCAGCGGCATGGACCAGCAGAGAGGAAAACTGAGGCACATGCAGCGCTGTTCAGCTCTCCCCAGCCTACCTCTCACACAATTTACTCCTGGATTACAGCTTTACATGCTTCAGAAATCAGTACGAAAAGAATACCCATAGAAAATGGCACAGAACAGAAAACTGTATCAGCACCAAACAGAAACAAGTTGTTCAAATAAACCTTAGTCCACCTCTTAGATACGGTAAACGTAAGCAAAGAGTGCTCTTAGACAAAACCCAGAAAGATTTTCTAAAGCTTCCTCAAGCCAATGAAGCGGGAAATCTTCCTGGAAAACTCACACTCCTTTTTGAGCTCCTACCACATAAAATGCAGGAACAGCAAGAACTGCTCACGCATGAGGTACGGCACATACAGGTCTGTAACTAGAGCTGACCAACATGCACACTAGCTAACACCAGGTAGAAAAAAATCAAGGAGAAAAAAGCAGCACTTGGGTTTTGTTCTGTTTCTCAATTACTACCTTGGCTATCAGTACTGCATTTATTTAAAACGGAAGTCTGAAATACCTGCGACAGTCAGTACTTAGCTGCCAAATCATGACAATTTCCAATTAATATAAGTCAGAATTATTATTTGGTAATAACTTAAATGCATTTCAGTAATGGAGTTTGTATTCCTATATGAAAAAGAATAACACAAGTACTGGTTTAAACAAGAAAGCATTCACATTGCATTCCTTCCCCAAGTGATTATTTAGCAGACTAAAAATCTAAGGATGCCAAAGACAAAAAAATAAAATTTGGTGGGGAAAAGAGGGGGCGGGAAGGCAGAAAACCCCACAGTAGTTCCCACCTCCAGATTCAAGCAGTATCAGACCGCAGTTAGCATGGCTGCATGTGTTGCTACAAGTCAGGTTGCTACAACAGAGGTCTGCAACACACAACCTGCACTCCTGTCCGCTACTGTCCTGAGCACCCTCGCAGCGACACGGTGAGATAATTCAGGAAGCTGATCTGGATGGACACTGAACACTTCTGTATCGGTCTGGAGATGGGATCACCTTAAGCTGCTGCACCACAGGAAGGAAATATCGTACCTGCTCATGGTCATTTTTTCCTTTCAAAACTGCTTTTATATTCATGAGGAGGGCAATGCAAAGAAAACAAAAAAGAAAAGGAAAAGAACAAAAAGGAGGGACATTTCCCTACTAGTCTACTATATAAGAACCTTCAAAAACATGAGCTATCCCAAGGAAGTTGCTGAAGCAAGTTACAGTCCTGCAGCCCACCTACTCAGCAGCAGGACCATATCCTACTATGGGCTTAAGAACACACACAGAACTACACTAAGACCAAAAATGCATTTATTTCAGCAATTAGCCCAATATGCATCTGTTCCATAAGCCAGCTCCACAACTGCAGGTATATAAGATACAAATACATGGCAAGCACACAGCCATACAAGCTAGAAATTGGGTGTGAGCATGCTAAGGTACCTGCAGCTCACGGGTTTGCCTTCCAAAGCCAAACACAGAATCACAGAATCCCAGACTGGTTTGGGTGGGCAGGGACC